CATAAAAAACTATTATCTAGACATATTAAATACATTTACAAAAATTATTCAAAGAACAAAAAAATCAAGTATGAATTTTCAAATAAAAGAAAAAAGAAATTATAAATAATAATTTAATTTTAATAATTTCTACTATATAAAAAGAAAAATTTCAATAATATAGCAATAAAAAACTTTATTTAATGATAATATAATTATATCTTAAACTGTTACTTAATATATAAATATGTATATTAAAATAGCTAATATTATAAGTAGAAATTGACAAGTTTATTACTAATTATAGTCAAAATCTTATAATAAAGTTTTTTGTTCTATTCAAAGCTTATAATTTTAAAAAGTTGGATATTATGCAAACAGCTTATAGTTATCAAGTACTAAGTTATTACAAAATTTTTATATGATGATTGATTGCTATGTATTATTTTCATATATACACATAATAAATTTTTATATGAGCTAATGAAAGTATAGCATATAGATTAATGATATCAGGCCGACGAAAAAGTCTGGACCGAGACCGTCCCCAAAAACCTTGGACGGGCCGAACTTTTTTCATGATAGATGAAATTAAATATTCCATCCTAAAATATTTTTATATTTTCTTTCAAAAGTTAGGCCTATGCTTTTATTTTATGTTCATTAACAAAAACCAAAAAATCACTCAAATAAAATTTACAACATTCGACTCTTTATTTTAAAATTAATACCAATCCCAACTGATACAGGTATGCGCATTTATTTTTATAATCGATCAAAAGTACATTCTGTATATTTATAGCTCATATTTATTTCATGAAAGAAATTAATAGTTTGCTTTTTTCGATTATACGTATAAAGAAATGATTCGAAGTTCATGCATTCACTTTTTTATTATGATCTAATGAAAAAATTATATTGAACATACCCTGTTCGTTATCATTTGTCTCACTACAAAAAATTTATCTTACTCTGACCGGCCTAGCCCACAAAATATGGACTGAGGGTCGACCCACCCATCGGTCCGGTCGTTTGGCTGAGGCCGGCCTGTATCTCTATCGAAATCCCAAATGAACGGCATCCGAATGCACGAAACCCGAAATAATTTATGTGTTCCATGCATTTAGGATGTTATACTTTCAGAATTCGAACTTTCGGGATTTCGATTCTTCGGAATTTCGATCTTTCGGGATGCCGTTCTTTCTGGATTTCGAACATTCGGGATGCTGTTCTTTCGGATTACGTTTGTCGGGCTTATGAACGTTTGGGATGTATTCTTCGGGATTTTGAACGTGTAAAATCCGTTGCATAGGACGTACACATGTAAAAATGTAAAAAAAGGCTGCCAGAATAAAATTTCACATCATATGCTATAATTGTTTGGATGATGACAATCTTCAAAAATTTTATTGTAATCTTCAAGAGCATTACCTTCAGTTATGAGTCAAAGCCCTATAAAAAAATCACCCTGTAAAATTTACAATCCTTTACAAATTACAAGTGATTTCAAGTTTTTACATACACCAAAAGTGTTTTTTGTAGGCCATTACTTTCTAATGCTAATTTTCGAATTTCAGGTCAAGAGGATTTGTGGTTTTGAAAAGTACATATTTTATCCTACGCTCTATTACAGTGTTAAGAAAAAAATGGCAATTGAAAATTACCGTTACACAGTTATGATCGAACGGTTGCACAAAGTCACATGAAATTTACACTGATACATTATATGTCTTTAAAAAAAATTTAATATGAAATAGTTTCGTCATTTTTTTCTAATTCGCCAATATTTTTTGGCATGCGTTTCTCCACGTTTCGTTTGACAATAGCCCCCAAGCATTGCCTTTACTTCCGGAATGTTCACGAAGAAATACCAACATAAAATTCTGCATTCATTACTTCCGTAAAACAATACAAGCTTGATTTACCCTTGCACAGAATCCGCCACATGCTTTAATTTTCGTACGGTTTTTAGGTATGCGACGAACCGGTCGTTGGCCCTTATGCCAATATTTAATCGTATTCCGAAAAAGCTGAAAAGCAGTCTCATTTGAAAAGAATCTTTTCCCAATCATTTTCGAGGTATTTTCGTGTCCATTCCATGCGCGCTTGTTGTGCTTGTCCGTTAGCATAGGTGTCTTTTGTTAGATTATTTTCGTAACCAGGTACTTCGAAATAGTGACATGAGAGATATTGATCTCCATTCCGTTGCTATAGCTCTTGTTGAAATAGAAGGATTATGATGAATGTACTGACTAATAACTCGACCAACGTTTTTTTGACCGACCGTAGCCTCTTGCATGATCTACTGTCCCAATTTTTTTAATATTGTTATAGACTGTCCTGAATGGGATGTTAGTTCTGGTGTGTATTTCTTTGGCGGTACGTACTCCCTCGTTCCACAGATACAAAATAACTTCGCATCGGCTTTGTTTTGTAGACGACATTTTCAAGCTTTACATCGGGTGGCAACCAAAGTGAAAGAGGGTGTGGAATATAGCACAAAATAATAAATATGCATTGTATGGCCGATCAAAACCGAACGGTGTATGTACATGTACTACCTTTATCATTCTATCTTCTCTATCAATTGTGTGCGAACCACTTCTACGATGTAATCCCAATATGTATATAGATAGGCTAAAGAGCTCCAACATAGAATAATTTGCATACAAATTCCTCACCAAAAATAATAAACTTATAGAAATAATTGCTGTGATTGTTGATGGTTAGTCCTTTGATCCAGAAAAGACGTCATATTAGATAATATTTTGTAAAGCTTTTATCTAGAAAAATCAATTGATTAGTATTAGGATATAATTCCAACGCCAAAAGCTATCTCATAATTCTCAAATCCTCACGATCCAAAACATTTATTAAAAATTCGAACCATTCTCTCTCGTAACGCAAGTGACAGACGATATAGTCAAACCGCAATTAGCAAAAATTTTGAAAAGTTCGGTTTATTCAGTTTATCGAGGGAGATTTACTATAACTATTCCCGAAATTAACTTCCAGTTTATCGGGGTTTTAATTAGTGCTTCAGTTTAACGATGTTTGACTGAACGCTAACCATTTCCCACGCCACGTACAGTCAAAATCCCGTAAATCCACGTAAACAAAGCAGTAATGTGATCATTCAGATTTGATGTGTTTCGAAACGATATACATGTATATATATCATTCAACAGTTCATGTTCATATATTAATAATGAATGCCATTTTATAAAGTGAAATCAAAGATGGAATCAAATATTCATCACTGTAGCAAATGTAAAACAGATGATTACTACTGCGATGAGTATTTAGTTCACAATATTCATGATTGTAGTAAATGTATTAAATGTCAAAAAAATTCGCTGCGTTGACTGTCACAGACGAATTAATTGTCTACCAGAGATAAAGATATCGACAATCTAATAAAAGAATCCAACAAAATTATTAAAATTAAAAAGATGAATGAATATGATGATGATGAATAATTCGGATGGATTCAGATTTACCAATGTTAAATATCTTACAAAAGGAAGAAAATAAATTTAAACGAGACGAGGAAAAGAACAGTTGTGTTGAAAACATTACAAAATCAAAGCAAATTAGCATGTGCTCAAGAGTTTATAAACGGGGTAAAAATAAACATTTTCTAAAGTGAGAGTTGCTTTTTAATTTTGATACAAAGTTTTCCAAAAATAGATTCAGACTGCTCTAAATTGCTATTTAATAAGTCATATTTATTATGGAATAACTAAAAACCCCAACTACAAACGAATACTCAATAGGTAATGACTTAAGTCATTTATTTATAATCTATCAAAAATTCACGAGAAGCAAATTAGTACATCGTGACTTACATCCTGGAATATATTTTGATGCGCGATAGTCCTGCTATTGCTGATTTTTTGATATAGAGAAAGAAATTCATGGCATACTTGTCTAGAGGTAATAAGTGGAAAGCTTTACTCTAATGCTGCAAAAATTAATAGGTTTGGAATGAGTTTATACGATTATAACAGGTGGACGACCATTTGATGAACAAAGTCATGTATATATCTTGTATACGACATCTACCAAGGAGTATGACCTTGCAATACCAAATAATATTCCCAGATGATGCAAATTTATTATTGAAAAATGTGGGATCCTATTCCAGAAAACAGACCAACTGCTTGGATCTTAAAGAGTTTATCTATTCTATCCGTAATGACGATGAAGAAATATGGGAATTGAACTCTGTGCATTTTCATTGCTACAATTCTTTTAGAATTTCCTAAAACTAATAAGGAAATTAAGGAATGTCTTAAATTAGAAAGGCTACAAGAAAGCATTCTTACAATAGAAACAAAAAACAACAAATCCACTCAAATGCAATTTACACAAGTCGAATGTTTACTTCAAAATTCATATCAATCTGACTGATACAGGTTACAGGCACGCAACTCATTCAGTCAGAATGACATTTCAGATTGCTTTTAAATATAACAAATTTTTAGGTTCTACAAGTGTTAGTTTGTATATTAATATTAAGGTGAAATTAAATTTGATATTAACTTACATCAAATTTCATTGATTTCATTATTTTCTTGATAAAAACAGATTTCGATATTACAAGAAATCGGATAGCCGAGTGAAAAACTGATAACTTTAGAACAATAGTCTGTTTTATCAAAAGAAATTGGTAATGGTTTTTTTACTTTAATATTAGTAAAAAGTTTAAATTGTTAGTTGCACGACGACTAAACGTGCTTTTTATTGTTTATCACCTCTGCTCAGAACATACAAGATTATATTTACGTTTCATGAACATGTACAAGTATACAATGTATTGTACATGCACATCAATACACGTGCATGTATTAACTTATATCACGTGTATATTCGCATTGGCATAATGTCTTGCTATCGCTATGAATCTATTTTTATACATGTATAATTCGTTTTCTTTATTATTTTTATTATTCAATGGGGGCACATGATAAAAGTTAATCGAGAAAAGGTTAAGTAAATGGAACCCCAAACTTGTCAAGTTATTTAAAAGGTTTCCCATTAACGAAATAATCAATTGCCGTATTAAAAATATCCTCATCGCTATCAACATCATCATTTCGATATCGTCTCGTCAACCTTTGTTGTTCCTGCCAAACATCCAAGCAACAATCTACCAAAATGGTATCGACATAGAGTCTCGTCTCCTTTAATATCTTTGAGGTGATATGCCTAGCCGAAGAAACATCCAATTTCTTTAACATTCCTCTTCTCGCAGCTGATCCAACGGCAATAAGGTGTTTGTCATCGAAAAATTTCATTTCAGGAAAGGCCAAGGTAGTTAACGATGTTGGTATTGACTTGCTCATCAATAATTCAAAGAAAATTTCAAGCGATTCGGGTGAGAACTTTAGTGCGCCGTTGACTGTAAGATTTTCGACGGTGGATGGTAAATGCGTTCCAAGAGATTTTAAGAATTTTTCAGCTGGCATTAACATATGGTGATCATATCCTCGCACTATATCAAGTGTCTTCAATTGGCGCCAAGAACTTAGAATCGGTAAATAGGGAACCAGTCTGTTCACTTGATCATATGACGTTCTCATATCTTTAGGGGAATGTAACACGATAATTAATTCGTTTATATTTGGTGAAATCTTTTTTGCCTCTGGAAAAATTTCTTCCAAGCATCCAGCCTTCAAGGTTAATTTACTTAGACCAACTAAAGATCTCGCTGCACCGGGAAGTTTAAATAGATTCCAATTGATATCGTCACCCATTAATAATGAATAAGCTTTCATCGCGCGAGAAATGATATATGGATTTTGTGTACGAGTTGTATTCACCAAAGAAGGAATAATATCAAGTTTCAAATCCCATAGAATTGCATCACTATCGTTGATGATTTTTCTCGAGAGTAAATGCAAACATTTGAAAATCGTTGTCGTATCACCACCTCCACTAGTCCCAAATGAATAAAACAACGCCTTTGCGAAGATTTGCAAATCCAAATGTCTTAGAAATGATGTATAGTCAAAGGTTGACTTTCTCGCAATATTTTCACCGAGCTTGGAATTGCTGTTAACATTAAGTTCCACTTTATCTTGATCAGAAAGACAATTGACCAAAGTGTTGATTATATTAATTATCTTCATTTTTGTGGTGAAAGATATTGATAATGATGGCAATGATGATGAGAACGATATGTTCGTTGATGAAAAAGGATCTCTCCATAAATATGGAATTGAATTTTCACACCAATGTCGATTCACTAGCATACAGGAAAAAATACATCCTCGGTCGAAATCAAGACATTCAAAGATTTCTGGAAAACAAGTTGCTGGGAGTCTAGATGCCATTATATTAACTACAATAAATAAATAATGCTTGATTTCTTTATTTATTTTATATATTTCAAATTGTAATAAACGATAAAATAATACCGGTGTATCAGTGGAGTTAAAAATGATGTGTATATTTGTATGAAACAACACAATACATGCACATCATCGTTTGATTAGTCGCACACAGTTGCACATAGCTCGGAGCTTTACTAGTTTTGGGGATACTTTAAAGCGTAGTCTATCACGTGATCTGTATCCAATAGGAATGAGCAAATTTTTAATCAAACCGGCAAAACAAATCCGCCACGAGACATGAAAACGTCTAAATATATCTCGGAATACTAATTAAAATGTCGGAACCTTTCAACCCTAACTATTACCCGACCTGATAAATCATTAATCGGATGTGCTGAAAATTTAGGTGGATTGATCACATGATAGACTACGCTTTAATCTCTCTAGTTTTACATATAAGGGCCGTGACAAACATTACGTAATATTGAACATCCCTCTAGGCAAGATATTCAAACAGGTGACTAAGATTTGGGCTGAGTGCAATAGAAACGGTGTAAATTCTATTAGAAGTGAATTTACACCGTTTCTCTTCACTCGTCCAATTTGTCAATACTCCCCTTCTCAGAATATTACGTAGTATCCACCACAACCCCTTAACTGAATTAGATTCAATTATTTTAGGAGAAATAAGATTCTTTATATACATAATAAATTTCAAAATAAAATTGCTATTTAGGTATGCTATTTTTATTAAGTTAATAATGATTATTGGAATAAAAATATAACGATTGAAATATGAAATTGCATCTGGTTATTATTCTGAGAATTCTAGACGGTCTCATACATAATTATCTTAATCATCCAAGGTTCTGAAATCCACATAACCAAAGATTGTTAATTTTTGCTCGATACGTTTTTACATAACAGTTATATTTACCAGAAAAGTGGGACTTTAAAGAATTGTGATTGTACTAGAGGTCAATTTTCCTATGTTTTATAACATTATAAGAAAGTGAAGAAAGGTGCTGGGGCGGCCTTTTCGCAAGGGGTATAAGTTCACTGGTGATAATCAATGGACAAAAGGTAGAAACTTAATGTGTCTAAATGTTAAGGAGTTCATAAAGAGCGAAATTTAACTTGTCATTCCATTAAGATGAATACACGTGTACGTATGTTATGATCTAATTTTTTTATACTCGCAGCAGACTCAAAAACATTTCGTATCGGTAGTGAAGCCTCTTGCATGCGATTCTTCGAAATATCTTATTTGATGAATATGAATCATGGAGGTTTTGCTGGGAATTAAATTATTCCCTTTCTTGGTTTTGTATTAAATCTTCAAGATTAATTTGTGGCGAAAATGGAAATTTTTATAAAGTACATTATTACTATTAGTTCGAACTTGTAAATTTGGCGATGCTACGCTAGCTTATTGCCCATCGCGACCGTTGCTGAGAAATGATAAGGGCGGTAACGTAAGAGTCAAATGAGACTGTTGAAGATAACTTTCCAGACCTAGTTCTGCTGTGTCTTTTTGGTTCTATTTTGTTATATTTAATAGCAGCAACCTATTAAATGAAATTTATCTAATTTCCTCAATAAATTATATTAAGTTGTTGTTATTTATTATTCTGGTAATATAATAGAAAAATAAAAAGCGACAACTACAATTTTATGAATATTTGATATTGGTAAAACAAAGTGTTTTTCCTAATGTTAATGTGAAAAAACTCCTTACATGTACATACAGTGTGGGACAATTGCTTTTGGAATTAATTAAACGACTATAACTTTGTAACTAATGCACAGAATTACATAAAAA